CACTGAGCCTTTAACCAAGCAATCTCACACACATCAAACTCCATACAAATATATTTATAGCATTTAGGCAGTATAGCCAATAAGCTCTAAGTAGTTAACTAGTATGGATAGCTGTATTATATCACAGTACATTCCATTCATCTAACAAACACTTAATACCTAACACTGATGTCACAGTGAAAAATACTAAGTAACATTGGGCAATATTGAATGAGCTATTAATATCCATCTGTAGTTTGGTTTTAGGAAACCAGATAAGTTTTAAATCAAATTTAAAATCTGTTTCCTCAGTTTCATCTAGCCATGTTTCAAGTGCTAAATACCCATGTATAACTAGTGGTTACTGTGTCTTACTGTGTAGATATGGAACGTTTCCATTAACATAGAAAATTTTATGGGACAATGCTGCTCTACAGAGATTGCAACAGATGGAAAATACTCAGCCTTGGTTCCCAAAACAAGGAGTTAGCCAAGGCCCATGGTGCCAAAAAGGTAGTAGCAACTAGGTTATTTCTAGTGGCCTAACTAGTCACATTTGTTTGTTTGTTAGCTTAGAAATACGTTATTATTGTCTTGGTTCTGGTCTCAGTAGAATTCATTTCATTTGGGATGAATTGCACTCAGCTGAGACAGTAGTTGTTTCAAGCCTATGCCTGGGCTGAGTGTCCTTGCAGGCACCCAGTTAATATTAATAGCACAGCAACAATCCAGATACAGCATGGGTATGTTGGAGGTCCTCTAGCTCTTACTGATAAATATCTGTATGCCTGTCCTACCAGTCCAACTGGGAAGGGTGCCTTTTGTGTTAACAACCTTCTAGATAGCCTTCTGCAAGATGCATCTACACTTTTTTCCTTTTTTATTTAAATTAGAAAAAAGCTTGTTTTACATATCAATCTCAATTCCCTCTCCCTCCCCTCCTTCCCTGTCAACATCCTTAGCCATCAGGGAAATGCAAATCAAAACAACTCTGAGATACCATCTTACTCCTGTCAGAATGACTAAAATCAAAAACACCAATGACAATTTATGCTGAAGAGGATGTAGAGAAAGGGGAACACCAACTCGTACAGCCACTTTGGAAATGAGTATGGAGATTCCTCAGGAAAATGGGAATCAGTCTACCACAAGATTGAGCAATTCTACTCTTAAGCATATACCCAAAAGATGCACATTCATACAACAAGGACATCTGTTCAACCATGTTCATAGCAGCATTATTTGTAATAGCGTCTACACTTTTTAACCTAATACAAGTTAATATTATAGCTATAATGTTAACACTTGTAATCCGTGTTGACCTGGTCCTGTTCTGTACAATGAACATTTACAACATGAGACTAGATGAGAGAATGTCCAATGCAGATAGTAAGTTCTTGGTTAGCAAGGGGCAAGCAAGAGCTTGGTTCTCAATGTCTGCTCATTGCCATCTTCTCACTTCTAGCAAACTGATTTCCTAAGTACCACATTCCCCAAGTCTTTAGTAACTGTTGATTATGTTCTGCACTCATCTACTCTTAATCTTTTTTCACTTCAGTCTTCCTGATCTATATTTTCTCTTTGCTTAACAGACAGTGTGGAGCATTCATTATTAAGACAATTGGGCAGCTCTAGTCCAGCTCAACTGATTTCTTGTCCATTGATCCTTGTGTGACCAAGACCCAGCTTCAAGGAACCGGCTAGAAGCTGCCCGTTGTGAAACTTAGGGTTAGTTAATATCTCACCATACTTAATTTATTCCATGATAAGCTGTCTGAATTTGATGAAATTTGCTTTTACTACTGTTTTACAAGTTTTAATTAGGTAGATGTGGCATTTGGCTTTTTATGTGTTAGTTTAATTGCAATAACACTTTCTACATGTTTTATCCATTCCATAAATAATAACTATACCAAGAATAGTGAGGTGTCTTTCATTTCCTCTACTTTGTGTTACTTCTTTTAATCTCAGAGTTTTTGACATTTTGTTTTCTCTTTAATACGTAAACATTTTGGATAAGATTCATGTCTAATAGAATTTTAATATTTCCATAACTTATAGGATATAGTAACTGTAATGGTTTCGATTTGTCAGTTTGCTTTGCTGTGTTATCCCTTAGTATACTTTGTCGAATTTTTTTTATCTGTTCCTGCTACTCATTTAGTGTTGCTTCTGCCATGGTTTTCTGAATTTAAATCGTATTTAATACTTTATGATAACATCTCCCAAATATTAGAAATACCACCAGTATGATCAATACTCTTGTGTTTTTAGCTAATTAAACTATATTAAATTTTTTTCTCTAATGTTTCAGATAAAAGTGTAACCTCACAGATCATCATCCATTTGATACCAAAGTTTTTATATGATGTTGATCCACCTCATAGAATTTTTATACAAGAAGTGGTCCCTTCTGACATTATCATATACTACTCCAATGTATAGTGCTCTTAGAATGCTTTCCTCCTTTTCTCATTTTTACCAATATATACAATTACACATGATTCATTTTTAAAAAGACAGTTATTTTCATAAAATGTAAAATTATTTCTTACACCAAGAGAAAACTGTAGATTCTAGGTCCAGGGCCAACTCACAGTATAAACTTGGAAAATGATAAAAAAAAAAAGGAGTCATTGTTTAAAAGATAAAGAACAAGTCATATATTTCTAATCAGGAAAATTTCTGTAATAAGACAAAAATACCTCTTTTTATATTTAGTTGCAGTTCTTTCACTGACTTGTTAATTTGAGAACAGAAGGAGAAAAGTCTAAATATTGGCATTACCCTAATAATTCACCCTTTCCTTACCTATTCCAACCCCAAGTGCACTCCATGCTCGGCATTAGAGCAGAAACAAAATGACCAGATCCCAGACTTTTTCCCATGAGTCAAAAATGCATTTTTTCTTTTGAAACCATAATGAGTATATTTGTCAATCAAATGGTTTCCTGAGAACGGTAGGATCCCTTGTCTATATACTGACATACAGACGTCTCATGCACTAATTATTCTCAGTTTTTAAAATTTAATAGACTTGTAAGTCCCATAATGAAATTTCAAAAGATTTTCTTCTATAATTTAGAAAATTATTAACCAGTGATGTTAGAAGTCTTTTTAATAGCACTGTCCATGAGAACAAAAAAGGTTACTGTTTGATTTTTAAAATGTTAAACATGATGCTAAACAAATCCTGGACTGTTAATAAAAATGAATGATGTATTATATTATTGGACAAAGAATTCTGATAATAATTTATACCCATGTATTTCTTCTACAGTTATACAAGTTATGTGCATACATACATATAAACATGTATATTATGTGTGTGCTCATATACATCACATACACATACATTTCATGCATGTGTACAGTCTTGAAGTTAGCTTTATTTTGAGAAATTAATAAAAACTTTGAAATTTACTGACAATTGAGTTATGGATAGTATCATTTGTCCTTCTTGGCTTAGCTTAGTAAGCCAAATATGCTGCCTCTTAGAATAAGAGAGCAAAAATTCTCCTTACACATTCTAAGTACAGCCATTTATTTGTTTCTATTTTTAGTATATCTGCAATCAACAGTTTTTAAAGTAAGTTTTTACTTATTTAGTGACCATTTTGAAAAAAAAAATCTGAAGAAATCACCTGAAATCCACTCTTAAGATGAAATGAATAATATAAATATAAATGCATACATTCACATTTTGCCAAAATCTCAGATACAATCATGAAAGAAAGGGGTATTCAAATTTTAAAACTTTTATCTTGATTAGGTCATTTCTTCAGATTGAAATGGAGTCACACGCAAATTCCATTGTATATTTCCCAAAAATTGGTCTTAGGTAATATCAAAATTCAGAATCAAAGGCCTGGAAAGAACATTCAAAGAACAGCAAATTCAAATTTGACTATCATATTTCAGTGTCCCATTGCTACTATTATAAATTTCTAACTTCTAGACTTACACCTTCAACTGAAATTTATTCTCAAGTCTCCATAGATGTAAAAGAGGCAAAGGAAGGCTGGAGGGATCCTCAGTTAGGAAAGTGCTTACTGTGAGATCAGGAGGACCTGAGTTCAATTCCCAGAAGCCATGTAAGACAGCTAGGCGTGGTGACTCATTAATCTCAGTGCTGGAAAGGCAGAGCAGTTAATTCCCTGGGGCTCACTAGCCAGTCAGCACAGGCTAACCAGCAATTACCAAGTCATGTTAGAGACCCTACCTCAATAAACAAGGTACATAGCACTTGAGTTTGGCCTCCACACACAACTGCATACACCTACACTCAAGTGCACATGCCTGCACACACCCATATGCCTTCACACTGACATGCATGCACACACACACAATACATACCAGAGGCTAAGGGAAAGTTTTTGCCTGAAGGATAGATACGAATCATACTCACATTGCAGGCATGGTGGTACGTTCCTTCAGTCTCAGCACTCAAGAGGCAGAGACAGGTGAATCTCTGAATTCAAGGCCACCTGGTCTACATAGAGAGTTTCAGGCAGCCAGAGCTACACAGTGAGAACCTCTCTCAAAAAATAAAACCAAATAAAAAATAATATTCATGTTGGTGCTTTCTTCCATTTCTGTGTTCTCATCTCTGTGCATACATTCCTAGAGGTATGCTGTCAGCTCCCATCCTTCCCTGTTGACCGTCATTTTCTGATTCCCATCTGCACTGGCTGCTGGCACCTGAAGCACGGTTTTGATCTGCTTCTATGTATTGCACAAATTTGTACTTTAGACATTCTGCTTATTTCTCTCAACAATCATGCTACTCAAGATTACTTTCTTTATATTACCAAGTTTTACATTTTTTGTTTCTATCTGACAATTTTATTTTCTACCTATTAGTCTCATGGTTATTTGTCTAGGTTCTGCAAATATGAAACAGCAGATATAAATTTCCAAATAATGAAATAAGAGATCATATAGTTCCAATTTTATTATTTTTATATATCCTGGTTAACACAGAGTAAATTAGTATAATGCCAAGCTTGGCTATAGTTAACTAAAATGCATAGTAATAGGTTGTATAGTTAGACATTTCATGTAAGGCATCATTCACTAGTGAGTGATTACATATTTACATATTTTTAAAACATGTAATCTTCAATTTCCCCACCTGTTTATTGGTCATTTACTCATATGATAATGTCTTTAATAATAAACAGAAGGTACAGTTTCATTATTTGACAATACTTGACAATTTTCTTAAGGAAGTTAATGTCTTAACCACATTTTGATTAAAATGTATACCTAATAGAAGTAATTGTCATTTAGTATTTGTGATGGTCAATACTGGTGGTCAGCTTGACAGGATCTATAATCACTGAATAGACCAGACGCTGGGCATGTCTGTGAGGGGTTATGTTGGTTAATTGAAGTGAGAAGGTTTACCCTAAATATGAGTAACATCATTCCATGGGCTGAGGTCCTAGACTGAATGGAAAGGAGAAAGCTAGCTCAACAGCAGCATTCATGTCTCTCTGCTTCCTGACTGTGGACACAGGTGACCAGCTGCCTAAGTTGCCTGCCACTATGACCCCACCCCCATACACTTTTCCTGCCCTAAGTTTCTGTTGTTGGGTATTTTTGTCACAACACTATAAAAAGTAACTGAAACAAAATTCTACTGAGAAGTTGGGGTCATTGCTGTGAACAACTTATTGCCCTGTGGTTGTTCAGCCTTTGTAGTTGTTTGGCAAGAGAAATGTGGAAGAGTTTGAAACTTTGAGGGAAAGTCCTAGAGTGCAACCTAAGCAGTACTTAACAAGTCATTCTGGTAGGGATTAAAGGATTAGTATGTCAGAAGCACAAACAGTAGACATGGCCAAGCTCCTAAGGTTCAAGGAGGAACAAAGACTCTATTGGGCGCTAAGTTAAGTCTACCGGTGACAAAGAATCTCACTGTATTCTGACCCTGTCTGAGAATGTGAGGGAGACTGAATTTAAAAGTAATGGACCAATGTGTTCAGCAAAGGAAATTTTAAAGCAGGCTAGCGTTCATACTGTGGAATGGCTACTGCTCACTGCTTTTATCCAGGTCTACAATAAAAACGGACAGAAAGATGGTTTTTGTTTTTATTGTTTTTAATGTTGCTGTTTGGGGAGGAAGAAATGATGAACAAGTGTAAAATTGAAGACAAGATAGGTACTGCCATAATTATTAAAAAGAAAACTTCAAAAAAGAGAAATCTGATGCATGAGAAACAATAGGAAAGATACCGAGGGCAAGACCACACCCATGGAAGGTTCCATTTTGAAAAAATGCAAGTTCACTTCAAAGGAGAAAGCATAATTCAGAATGCCACTGAAGGAGTTCTCTAGAAAAACAAACCAAATGTTTCTCCAGGAATCAGTACACAAAGGTCCACGTTGCTGTAGACCAGAGAGCGCCAGGTTTTAAACCAAGATACAGTAGAACTTGGCAGCAACGTCTGTGTGGTACTGGCTTGGCAGGCATGAAAGACACAAAATTGAGGGGTCACAGAGGTTTGTTCGGTGATTCCAGAGATCCACTAAGGCTGGGCAGTGTTTATCAGTCCTGGAGTCCCTTGCAGAGAGACCCTAAGAGGCCACTGCATGAAGCTGTAAAGTGAAGCCTAAGTCGCCTTGGAGACGCCAGGATGTTGGCTACATCAGGATCATGGACCATCTGAGGAGTAAAGCAGAAGGCACAGAATGGAACCTACTTGAAGGAGGCTGCAGTGGTGCGAGTGTCCTGATGATTCCCCCCAAGAGCCCCATACCTGACATGGAACTTTGGAATTTGGTGCCTAACCCCAACTTTGCTCCAGTCTTTCCTTGCTATTCTCCATTCCTCCCTTCTGGAATGGGACTGTTTGATCTGTACTGTTGTATATTGGAAGTATATAACTATTTTTCTCTTTTTAATTTAATATTTAGAGTTTCATATGTAAGTACTGTAGTTCCATCATTTCTACCTCTACCTCTCTCTCCTCTTCAACTCCTCTCACGTTCCCCCAAGTCCCTCTCAAGTCCACGACCTTGATGTTACTGTTTACACACACAGACATGCACACAGTTTTATATAAATGCAACTTGCTGCACCTATTTAGTGCCACTCATAGGTCCATGTGTTAGACAGACCACTTAGGATTGGATAACCAATTAGGGGCCTAATCAATAGAGAAAACTGATTCTCCCTCCCTAAACAGCCATTAATTCCCTATAGTTTTTGTGTATGGTGGAACCTGCTGAGATTCCCTCCATCCACAGTGGGATGTCAACTACTGTGGTCATTAGTCAAAATCTTTTTCAAGCAACCATATTGATGAGATGCCATGGGTGTAGCTTCCCTGTCATACCTTAAAAACACAATCTTACAGCAGGCATCCTGGTTCTCTGGATTTTAAAACGTTTTTGCCACGCTCTTCTGCAGTGTTCTCTGAGCTTTAGGTATATAGTTTGTGTTGTATGTAGATGTACCAAATGGAGTTGGGTACCTCACAGTCACTTCTCTGTGTTTTGACCAGTTGGAGATTACTGTAACAGCCTTCAGCCACTGCAAGAAAAAAAAAAGCTTTTTTTGATAAGGGGTGTGAATTAAACTTAGCTGTGGGCATACCCCTTCTGAGAACTGGATGGGCGATGGGATGGGGAGAGACGAGGGGCGGGAGAAGGGGAGGAAGGGGGAACTGGGTTGTATGTAAAATGAAAAAAAAGTTAAATAAAAAAAGAAAATACAGATAAATTATACTTGATTAGGAAAGTTTCAGTAGTAGATTATCCTCTGTTGTACAGGATTTCAGAATGAAGAGACTGCCCTGAGTCTCTGAAAAGACTTTGCACTTCTTTTAAATAGTGTTCAAACTGTTAAAGATTATGGGAACTTAAACTGGGTGCATTTTGCATTATAAGATGGCCATAAGCCAGGGGGGCTAGAGAAATAGCTTACCAGTTAAGAGCACTAGCTGTTCTTCCAGAGGACCCAGGTTCAATTCCCAGCACCCACATGGCAGCTCACACCTGTCTGTAACTCTGAGACGTGACACCCTCACACAGACATACATGCAGGGAAAATACCAATGCAAATGAAATAAATGATTTAAAAAAAAAAAAAGCCAGGCAGTGGGGGCGCACTCCTTTAATCCTAACACTCTGGAGGCAGAGGCAGGTGGATCTCTGTGAGTTCAAGGCCAATCTGGTCTACAAGAGCTAGTTCCAGTACAGCCTGCAAAACCACAGAGAAATCCTGCCTCAAACCCCCACCCCACCAAAAGAAAAAAAGATGGCCATAAGCCTATGGGGATAAGAAATGGCTGTCAAATTGACAAGGGATATAGTGATTATAACTTGACTGATCTAGAGTCACTGGAAACAAGCCTCTCGGTATGTTTGTGAGGAATTTTCTAACTTAGAAATTGAAGTGATAAAACTCACTAGATGTGCAAACAGCATTCCATGGACTGGTACTCTGGAATGAACGAAAAGAACAAAGAATGCAGTAGCATTCCTCTCTCTCCATCTCCAGATTGTGGACACAAGGAGACCACCTACTTCAAGCTCTTGTCGTCATTATTTCCTACCATAACAGACCATACCTCAGAACTGTAAACCAAAATAATAAATTCTTCCAATCTTAAGTTGCTTTTGTCACAGCACCAAAATCAGTAACTAATCCAGCATGTCTATAAAGGGTAATGATCATAGACATCTCTTTAAAGTAATTCTTTAAAAAGCAAAAGTGTGAGAAGGAAAGTTAAACTGCTAGCTGTCTCTGAAGCTGGGAAGAACTCCCAGTCTACCTACTTCAGTGTTTCTCCTGCAGTTTGTTCTCTATTTGCCATATCCTTGTTCAGTCATTTTACACAAATAAACTTATTCTAAGTGCCCTTTCCAGACACTAGCATTCTGAGGGATCTCCTCTAATTTCTATTTAGGGTAGAATTTTCTCCAAATTTTCAAAATACTGAGTCTTGTTTATCTAGCTCAATTAAAACTCTTGATTAGATAATAGAACTTAAAGGTTTTTCCCATGTCCATCACATACACATTATGATCACTGCTTTAATTTTCAAAAAAAAATGTAAACTTAAAAAATGTAATTCATCATAATTACTTTTGTAGGAGTTTTGCTCCACTCTAGTCATAATACATACATAATACATAACAGATTTTTAAATCTGGTGTGTATCCTGTCAAAAAACTGTATCTGGGGCACTGAATTTAAGAAATCTAATAACTATAATTCCAGATTTGGAAATTTTTTTAGAAGCAGGAGAGCACAAGTCTTCCTGCATGTCAGCTTCCCAGAGATGGCCTGTCAAGCCCCTCGACAGCTGACACTATCACCTGACAGAGAATTCGTTATGGGGAAAGGTGCTTTTGCTTAAAGGAATACAGTTTAAAAGTAACTAATTCAGACTTATGTGTAGTTGAATGTTTTTCTCTGTTCCACTTGTTCCCCCTCAACTAGCTTCTATGCCATTCACAGGTCCCAGGAGCCATTTTCAAAATAATCACTCAGAGACTAATTTTAAATATAATTGTTTGGCCAATGGCTCAGGCTTATTACTGGCTAGCTCTCCCTTATAAATTAACCCATTTTTAATAACCTGTGTTTCACCACATGGCCAGGACTTACCGGTAATGTTCTGGTATCTCACCCCTTCAGTGGCTACATGGCGCCTCTCTGGCTCTGCCTTCTTTCTTTCTCCACCTCTGTTTGAATTTCCCACCTAGCTATATTCTGGTTGGCCATTGGCCAAATCAGCTTTATCAACCATTAAAAGCAACATACATTCACAGCATACAGAAGGATATCCCATATCACTTATTAATGTCATTCTGGGTCTTCACTTTTTTCTTTCTTCCACTTCTGAATTCACTGATAATCTTAAAGCTTCAAGTTGTTCATAATGGTCCCTAATAATAATATATTTTGAAAATATAGAAAAGCAAATTGTGATAATTTTCACTTGAACAGAGTGGTAGGGCCTTTTAATCCTTAGTTATTCTTGTTTTATGTGTAATAGACATTTAAGAGACTAATTTAAAAAGGTTGACAGTGAGATAGGAAGTTACTTTTATGACTAAGTCTTAAAGATGAGATGAAATTAAAAAGTATATGATAGTTAACCACAATGTTTCAAAAAAACTATCCTAATTTCCTTAAGATTTCATAGATTTCAGTTCTAGATAACAATGAAATGTAGACATTTTGACATTTGTATTTATGAAATTTGGGGCTCTCATAATCTTTCAGTTGCCTTAATATTTTCTCTGTTGGGTGGGACTTGTATTTATAATAATCACAATTCATAGTAGTTGAATTCCAGATACTATTTTGGATAATCACTTGCATCATTCTGTTGTGTTGTTGTTATTGGTTTTTCAAGACAAGGTTTCTTGGCCATCCTAGAACTCACTCTGTAGACTGAGCTGGACTCAGACTCAGAGATCCACCACCTGCCTCTGCCTTCCAAGTGCTGGGACTAAAGGTGTGCACCACCACTGCCACCCAGCTCATTCCCCTTATTTTTTTTTAATCTAGTTGGATAATCTCAATTGTCTGAGATGCCTTTGTAATTATAATTTTATCACTCTTACACAGTTGTTTCTATATGTACATATATAAAACAGGATATAGGAAATGTATATTGATTATAATATTATATTAATATCATTATTAACAAGCCATGTGCATTAGAGATCCTATAACCAATTCTACATTTTTAAACAGAATACAAGGCTTAGAGACAGTCTCATTTTTAACAGATGGGTTTTGGAGGTTCACTTCACACATCATCCTATATCTTTGTTGAAAGTATCAAACAGGCAACTGATAAATACCTCAGATTTTGTAGACCAGTGTTTGTGGATCTATTTCTAACTGAAGGAAACTGGCCAAAATCTGATTTGTAAAATACAAAACTTAATTCATTGTTAATATTTAGTTCTTTACACATAAAATATTTAACTTAAGACTTCACTATGTAACTGAAGTTACTCTATTTCTGTCTTTATTGATGGGGGAGTTAAGAAAGGTTTTCAAGTAGCCCAGACAGGCCAAAAACTTGTTTAGCTGAACATGACCTTGAACTCTTGATCCATCCTCCTCCACCTGTGGAAGGTTGGGATTATAGGCAAGTACCACCACACCTGGCTTTTATCTCAATGGCTGATTTTAAAATAACAGTGGAGAATGTAAACAGTCTTTTCCTCACCTCCAATGCTACCAGACATTTTTGTTGGCACTAGTGTGCATTGTGGATAGTTCTGTTTTCTTAGCATGCCATCGTATGAAAAAGGCAGAAATGCTGGAAAGAATACACTGTTTGATTTTTTGACAAGACTTTAGAAGTTAAAAACTTCTTTTAGAGAAATTAACTCAAAAAAAAATAGGTAGATAGGTAGATAGGATCTTGAAGAGTTGGGGGCCAGGAAAAGACTGATCAGAATATAGCGTGTGAAAAAAATACAACTAAAAAAAGATAACTCTTAAAAAATGCTAACAAAAAATACTTAACTCTGAACTTGGAATATAATAAAACTTATACCATACAATTGGTTTACTTTATTCACTTTCTTCTTAAATGTTACTTTTTAAATCACGTGTCATCATTGCTTAAGTTGGGTAGACCCATTACAGAGAATTGTCTTCTAAATTGTTGTAAGAAATGTCCCAAATTTTTCCTCAGAACATTTTCATATGCATCTGCCAGTTGATGTTTTTTTATTAAGAATCCTTCAAACCAAATGCCTTTATATACTCTGGGTGAACATGACTGACAGTAAGTACAGTGTTTATGTCATTCCAAAAGAATATTTTCTGTTATTTTCTAAGTACTTTACTTTGTTTTGTAGTAAAACAGAAATGCAATTAAAATCTGTCTATATAGGGTCATGTGTATCATTTTAACTGTTTCCTCAGAAATAACATCCTGCTTAAGGACTTGACTTGTCAAGTTTTATTATGATTATGAATCTTTGAACTATCAACTTATGAATTCAGAAGCAAATCCCTTCATCTTCCTGTGACTTGCTTCACCTTCATTGATGAGCAACAGATGTGACTTTCATTATCTTCATAGACATCCAGGCGATAGCACAGCAATTAAGGGGACATAACTAGTCTTGGAGAAGACCCAGGTTTTGTCCTAGCATCATATCAGGAAGCTCATACTTTAGTCCAGTTCCAGGAAATCTGACATTTTCTTCTGGTTTTTGTGGATATTGCTTACATATGGTGCATATAAAGACAAGCAGGGACACATACAGACATACATATATAAATAAAAATATTTTTATTTTATGTGTATGGGTGTTTTGACTGCCTATTTATTTGTGTACCAAATGCCTGCCTTGTGCCTATGGAGACCAAAAAAGTGCACTGGGTATCCTGGAATTGGAACTGTAGTTACAGACAGTTGACTGCTGCCATGAGGGTGCTGGGAATTGAACTTGGGTCTTGTGGAAGAGCAGTCTGTGCTCTTAACTGCTGAGCCCTCTCTCCAGCCTCTAAAGGAAGTAAACTTTAAAAGCAAAAGAAACCACAACCATTGACCCATATATGGACAAGATCTTGTCAAGTTCTGCTTCCACTTCTGTTCCTCATGCTAATAGCTTGCTTTTCCCTGCTCCAAAGTTTTGTTTTTATTTTACTGGGAATTTCAATTAGATTTCTGCTTTGAAACAATCTCATGTAACCTAGACTGACCCTGAACATAGGTAAGGTTGACCTGTCTCTACCTTCTGAATACTGAATTACAGTTGTGTGCCACCTGGCCCAATTTTTTGTGATGCTGGGGATCAAACCCAGGGTTTCATACATTCCAGACACTCTACCAATTGAACTACATCCACAGACATCCAACTATTGATCATAAGTACTAATCGTAAACATTATTGAAATCAAGACATGGGCATGAAAGGGAGCACCAAAAAATGACTAAAATTGTCTAATTTTTAAATTTTTCATATTAATAAACTTAAATCATCACTCAAACTACTTCTCAAAAATGAAAGTCTAGAAATGCAGTTGATACAACCTCAATTGTTTCATGGAATTGAAATTTAAGTATATGAGCATATTCCAAACTACATGAACTTTCTGTATCCATAGGCTGTATATGTAAAAATTCAATCAACTGCAAATCAAAAATATTTTAATTGTACCTGTACTGAACATGATGCTTTTTTCTTGATATTCCCTGAACAATACCATATTATAATTATATAATATTTACATTGTGTTAGTACTATAAATAATCTAGAGTTGGCTTAAGTATATGAGATATGTGCAAAGGACATGCCATACTAGGGATTTGAATAGTAACCAGTTGGTTTACTTCTAGGGCTCCTAAAACCAATCCCTTATGATTTCTGAGGGAGGTCTGGAGATGTAACATTAAACTCAAAAGCCATAGTTTGAAAGCATATCGAACACCAAAGGCTAGACTATTGTATTCTTTGACTTAGTTCATTATTTCCATTCTAACCATTGATACAGTGCTATTCAAACTGACTGAATCATGTTTAGAGGAAAGCCTTTTCCCCTGTTATAAACCTGAAATTACAGAATTATATAAAAACTCAAATGATCTTACAAATTCTAGTGTATCTCATTATACATGCCAGGGTTGTTTTTGTTTTTAGAAAATAAAAGCTTTACTTCTACACAAGGGTGAGTAGCAGACACACTCAATATTGAGTTTGTTTTTTCATTTAATATATTCTCATGGTTCCCCTTCCCTAATTTCTCCCAGATTCCTCTACCTCTCCACCCACCCAAATCCACATCCTTTCCTTCTTTCTCATTAGAAACCAAACAGACATTTAAATAATTTAAATAAAATCCTATAAACCTGAATAGGACAAGACAAAGCAAACAGAAAAACAAAGAGTCAAAGAAAAAGCACAAGAAACATATAGACACAGAGACACATGTTGGTAAACATAGAAATCCCATAAAAACAAAATGAGAAACCATATATAAGGAAAAGTGCTGTAAGGTGTGGGGGCGAAGTATTGCCCAGACAAAGCAGTCTGAGACAAAAATACTACTGAGTTCATTTGTCTTGGCCATCTACTGCTGGGCATGGGGTCTGATCTTAATAGTGTTTTGTATACCCAGTGAGACTCCATTGGAGAACTAATTTTTCATTTGTGAGGGTTTATCAACTGGAAGTAAGAGATACCATCCAGGTTAGGAATGGGGGTTTCTGTCCACTTTCATTCTCAACACTGGGACCCTATGAGGCCCAGACCTGGGCAGGTGCTGTGCATGCTGTCAGTCTCTGCTTAGTTCATGTGAGCCCTGGTCCTGCTGTGTTCAGAAGGCCTTGTTTCCTTGGTGCTCTCCATCCCCTCTTGTTCCTACAGTCTTTCTGCCTTCTCTTCCACAAGGGTCCCTGAACACCAAGGGGAGGGTGTGATGGAGACATCCCATTAAGGACCAAGTGTTTCAAGGCATCTCACTCTGCAATGTGTCCTATTGCTGGTGGTTCTCTTGTCCCACCATGTTCTGCTGCTTCAGCCCCAAATGAGCACACAAAGACTTATATTAATTATATAACTGTTGGCCAATGGCTAGGGCTTCTTATTGGCTAGCTCTGTCTTAATTATTAACCCATTTCTATTAATCTATGTATTTTCACATGGTCTTTTCTTACCAGAAAATGCCCGGACCTGTTACTCCTTTGGGGGCTACATGTTGTCTGTTTCTGACAGGCGCTCTCCACCTATCTTTCCCAGAATTCTAGTCTCCTATCCCACCTATCTTCCTGCCTCATTGGCCAAACAGTGTTTTATTCATCAATAAGAGAAACATACATACAGAAGGACATCCCCCATCAGTGTCCAGCTGTGGGTCTCTGTATTTGTTCCCATCTGCTGCAGGAGGAAGCTCCTCTGATGATGGCTGGGAGCAAGGCACTTATCTATGAGTAGAGAAGAATGTCATTAGGAAGCATTTTGTTGCTACATTCTTTTAACAGAACAGTAGTAATTGGTTTTCCCCTAGGTCCCTGGCCTATCTAGTTTCAGGTTCTTGGCCACCCAAGTAGTGTCAGGGATGGGTTCCATCTCATCTGGAATGGGCCTTAAATGCAACCAGATACTGAGTGGTTAGTCCCACAGCTTTGTGTCACTATTGCACTAGCACATCAACCCATTGTAGATCAGATGTTTTGTAACTAGGTTAGTGCTTACCTTTCTCCTTTGGTAGCATGCAGAGTACCTTCCAGTACCTTAAAAAAAGTAAGGATGAAGACTCTAGGTAGGTGCCAGCTCAACTTCTCCATGTTCAGTGAGTTTTGTAGGTGTCTTCAGCAATAGGGTCTTACATTCAGTTTGTGGAAGCAACCAATAGCCTTGGCAATAAGCTGGGTTGTTTGAGGGCTCCCCGGGAACCCCTTTAGCCACCAACTGGATTAGATGTAACCTAATCCTAGAAGGAGAGTGTTTATTTGGCAACAAAAGATGTCCAATTGGGGCTCTGTCTTCCCCAACTTTGGCAATTTCATTTATATCACCTTCATATATGTACATATCTTAGGAAGCTCTACTGTATTGTTAACATACAACCCCTCATATGGCCCTTCATTTTAGCTGTCCTCAATTTCCTCCCTCGTTCCCCCTTCTCTTTTCCTTCCTGTTTGGTCCTCCCACTCCAGTCCCCCTACAGCCATCCATAACTATTCTATTGTTTGCTCCTTCCTAGGGTAATCCAATCCTCCCCAGTGTCCCTTACTCTAACTTCTATGGTTATATGATTGTAGCCTGCTTATCCAAGACTTAATAGCTAACATCCACATATAAGTGAATATATACCATATTTATCTTTTGGGCTCTGCGTTACCTCACTGAGGAAGATTTTTTTCCAGCTACATTTATTTACCTAGAATTTTGTTATTTTACTTTTTGTTTCTTTTTTCAAAATAGGGTCTCTGTGTGTCCTGAAACTTGCTTTGTTTCAGGGACTAGACTCAGATCTACCTGCCTCTGCTTCCCAAGTTCTGGGATTAAAGGCATGTGCCACCGCACCCAACTGATTTCACTTTTTTTTTCATTCATTCATTTAGCTCATAAAGTCATGCACAGTTACGATACACAATACAGTATGTTCACAATGGCATGGCTAAATTAAACCAATTAACATGTTATATCACACATATTCATCATTTTTGTTTTGAGAACACTTAAAGTATACTATCTCACAACTTTTAAAATATACCATATTGTTATCAATCATATTTATCATGCTCTCAGTAGACCTCAAGACTTCACAGAGTCCATGCCTCTTGTCCAACTGCAGTTTTACATCCTTAAACCAATTGTTTCCCCATTGTTAAAAGACTCACATTGAAGCCTAATAGCCACCATTCTGCTCTCTGTTCCCATAAGTACATCATTTCTAGATTACACATACAATTGAAATTGTGTGACATTTGTCTTCCAGTGTGTCACTTATTTTTTTTTTTTTTTTTTGGCAAGCAGAGAGAGAGAGAGAGAGAGCGCAATTATGTATACAGTCTTCGGCCTGCATGCCAGCAGAGGGCACCAGATCTCATTCAAGGTGGTTGTAAGCCACCATGTGGTTGCGGGGAATTGAACTCAGGACCTCTGGAAGAGCAGTCAGCGCTCTTGACCGCTGAGCCATCTCTCCATTCCCTGATTTCACTTTTTTAATGGCTGAGTAATATTCCGTTATGTAACTATACCACATTTTCTTTATCCATTGGTTTGTTGACTGACATATGGGCTGTTTCCAATTTTGGGGGATTATGAGTGAAGCAATAATGAATGAACATAATTGAGCAAGTGTCTCTGTAGTAGATTGTGTTATGATCTCCTGAACTCAAGAATTTGTAAAAAGTGCCTGATACGTATAGCCTGATGTCACTCAAGTAAATTTTCTCATAATACTGATTTTTGGTAAACTTTCCTTAGCTTATTATTTATTAAATACAGCACAACATTCTTTCCAAGCTGGAAGACTATTTTGTAATGTCACAAAATATCAAAGTGTTATTAATTAACTGCACATTAAATTAACTGCCCTTTGCTCATTAAAAATAGTCTTTTTTTTTCTCTCCTGGCTTGGTTGGGGATAAAAGTCCAGATAATTTATATAACATATGGGAAGACACAGAGCTGTGCATGTGGTGAGGAGATTTGATCAAGGTTTCAGCATAAATGCTATGGGGGGGGTATTGCATATGTGTACATGAGTGGAGGCTAGAAGAGGACATCAGGTAACCTGCTCTATTACTCTTTGTCTTCTTTAATATAGCATTTCTCACTGATTCTGAGGCAGGTAGCAAGCAAGCCCCAGTGAGCCTTTTGTCTCCACTCCATACTGGACAGCATAAAAATAGGCTTTTAAAAAGTATCATGCAAGTCAGCATTCTAAGAAATATAGGAAACACATGATAAGAAGATAAAGGGTTTCTAGGGTATCCCAGAAAAATCTTCTGGCCTTGAGACAGCAAAAGAGAGCTATAGTTTGTGCCATCTACTCTCTTGAGAACATAACACATCTCAAAATACTTTTGAAACAAAATCCACCACCGAAACATTTTTTTCTACTTCCTCTCATTCTTCTTGCTAACATCTACAATGTAGGCATTCATCAGTCTTACTGTATGATCCCTTCATTTAGTCTTGTTATCTTAGCTCTACCACTGAACTACAGCCCCAGCTCTGCTAGTTGGGGAACTATTTATTATTCAAGCCTGGTTTTGTTATATCCTAGTTTAGGTATTAGACTCAAACCATTTTTAAATAAAGTTTATCCAATTCTTAATTTTTTATTTTTAGTTACATATTTGTGTGTGTGTGTGTGTGTGTGTGTGTGTGTGTGTGTGTGTGTGTTTAATAGATATATATATATATGTACAAGCACCTACAGAGGCCAGAGATGCCAGATCTCCCTGGAGGTGGAGATGCAGGTGGTTATGGCTTACCTAATGTGGGTGCTAGGAATCAAACTCATGTCCTCTGAAGGAGTAGTACGTGGCTTCTAACAACTGAGCCATCTCTCCAGCCCCAAACTTGATCAAATTCTAAGATAGACTTCACTATCAAAATTGTGTTATGATCTCCTGAACTCAAGAATTTGTAAAAAGTGCCTGACAGTATAGCCTGATGTCACTCGAGTAAATTTTCTCATAATACTGATTTTTGGTAAACTTTCCTTAGCTTATTATTACAATACAGCACAACATTCTTTCCAAGCTGGAAGACTATTTTGTAATGTCACAAAATATCAAAGTGTTATTAATTAACTGCACATTAAAACATATTTAACCCTGGAAGTATCCAGACCTATTATAATAGTCTAAAAAGGACTCGTGACATTTTCCTGGCAGTTACTTGCTCTAGCACTGCCGTGGTATTTCTTTATTAGTAGATATGCTCAGAGTTCTAGTAGATCAGTAGTGTGCTCTACATGCCCACATCATATAACTTGAAACTACATAGTAAAATTTCCCTTTGGAGAAATTTTGCTTCTTAATCTTAGAAGTTTTATTCAGATCTCTTAATTGTATGTAAGATGCTAGTTAAAATTTTAGAAGAACTACTAAAATATTTTTATAGTCAAATGCAGTTGATTCGGTCTGTGTACTACTTCAAAAGTTTTATTCAATATGGCAGAGACGCTACCTCTTCCATGGCTTTATTCTTTAATCCCAGAATTGAACTCCAATCATTTAAAGCAAACAAAACTACTGTTGAGATTTTTAGACAACAGGATTTGCCTCCCCCTGGATGCCCTAATGTAGGAATTTAGTCATTATAGATGTCTTGGTGTCTTAAGCAGGGGAGTATCTAGCAATCTTTGTATTTGCAGTAAATCAAATAAAAGTCACTTGTTGGAACAAAATTTATTCACTAAATGATTTGCTTAACAGTAAGAATAAAATGTATCTGTTAACATTTACTATATTAATAATCTGTTGATTTTTCTCTTGATAGTGCTTTCTTATCCATAAGATCTAATTCTACTCTTATAAGCACATCATTTTTTTAAAAATAAATATTTAAGTAAATAAGCTTAGCCAAAATTGAGAGATGACCCATGGAAAGTATAACATAATTTAGAAATCTCATTGAATATGGCAATTCTTAGGTCTTTCATAAGGGATTTCTTTATACCATAGGATGCCTCCCTGTCTAGTGGATTAGAAAGAAATTTGCCTACTTTTCATAAGAGGCATTTCCTGAAGAACACTGTCGTCAGAATCCAGACCCAGGACTGGGGACGTATGTAGCTCAGTGGTAGACTAGGCTTGACCAGCACATGCACAGGCTTGAGTTAGATCCCCAGTGAGTCTAAAAACAAATCCAGATCCAGTTAATCTTATTTTTTAAATCTTTCCCTTAAGTAATTATAAAAATGAGAGCCATTGAAAGTGCATTAAAACCCTAACTGTCTTTAAATCTCTCAATAGGAGCCAAGGTTACATTCTGTGAGAAGAAGCTTTTCTCATCCTTCATCTGTGGCTTTGAAACCTCGATACTCTCGAAGCCCACACTTTCATCCTAGGAAAGATTTCAGAGCAGACGACTCAGTTTCCACTCCACCTTCCTGTACTGACTTTGTTAAGTAGACTCTTGGGTAACTGCTTTATCCAGAAGTAGAAAATAACTAGGCCTGTATGTGGTCTAGTAACAAGTGAGGTTTGGGGATATGCTTAAGGTTACATGTTTTTGCGTTTTGGTTTTTTTTTTGTTTTGTTTTGTTTTGTTTTGTTTTTTTAAGAATTTTTAAAATCTTAGTAGCCAGAACATGGGAGATGCAGTTAAATCATGGTTTCCTTTATTAACTCAGACACCTAAGTAATATAGAGTTACAAGCCATAACATAACAAGAGTTGTCTCTTACTGTAAGACACTATCTTTCAGCTCATCATCTTGCTGTCTTACCAGCATGAACATCATACATAACCACTTACAAACATCTTTGATGGTTGGATTTTCAGTCTCGTTCCAGAAGTTTCGTATTTGTAAACAAATTCGTGGCATATATAAAAATGCTTAGCAACAGACCATTTTTGTAATTTTTAAAAGCTCCATCTTGTTAGAGGATGTATAAATTCTAGTTTTAACATTATTCTGGTTTCAATGCATTTGTGTTTGTGTGTATTTTAGCTATATTAAGTAGTTATGATGAAAACCATTTCAAACTCCACTTACATGACAAATTTTACACACATTGACATAAAAATAATTTGTGTATTATAAAATATCCATAAATCTGTCATATTATGACCACTTATTGTATAGTGGTTACTATGACCAAAGTGACACTATCCTTAAATGTTCTTAAAGATTATCTATTTCTGACCCACCTCTGTCATTCATACATGAAGTAGAATTGTTCATAGGGCATAGCACTATAGGCAATGTAAGTATTCATAATTACATCATGTAATTACATCAGATTTGACACTGTCAGTATTTTTATCTTTCATTCATTCGGTTCTTCATGAGGCTTATAGGCTTTTAAAACATTAGAATTTACCCATAACAGTTTTATTTTTAAATACAAAGAAGCTGTGATTGCCTGCTATTATGGAATGAGAGCAGTTTCTAAAATTAAAAAACATGCCACAATAATTAAATTTTTAAATTAAAAAAATTACTATCTTTTAAGTCTATTTACCAAATGTAACTTCTATTTTTAAAAAATTATTCCTTTGATAGAAGCTTGAATTAGTAAAACAATAAGGTCATATAAATCAGTATTTCAATTGAATACATGGGAATTTACTTTAGAATGTAATGAAAATTGATAGCACAGTACTTCTAGTAAATGCTAGACTTTCAGTATTTTAAATTTACATCTACTCCAAGAATTAATACTATCTTGTACTTCTTCTGGGAAAGAGTAAGAATTATAAATAAAAAAGCCCTTATAGTATCAGAAAAGCAATACCCAGTAATAACGAATGACTTTTATTC